TTAGGGTATACCGTCTACATAACATCAATTATACGATAATACAAGTAATCAATAACTTGTGGAATTTCTTTTTTCAAAAATATTTTATCTGCATAAACGCTATTCTCTGCAAGAAGTGCGATTCCTTCTGGGATATGTTTTTTTTTAGGAATTCAATGCATGCGTATTTTTCATTTATTTAAATCAAATGTATTTAAATATTAATAACAATTTTATTAACCTCTCCATGATGTTTCTTGCACCAATCATTCATATTATCCGTAATTTCTTTTAATTAATAATTAGATCAATTAGATCAGGTCCCTTATTATTAATATTATTACTTTATCAATTAATATTAACCTTAATATTTATCAAGAAATCTTATATTGTGTTCAAAAAAAAAAATAATGTTCTTATATATCCCAAATACAGCATTATAATGCAAGCCACTTGGTCTCGCAACTTTTTATTGGTCATGTAGATCCTTCAAATCCTCCAAAAATGGAAATGCAAACCCCAAAATAAATCTCCTCTACAAAGTTACGATTTCATTTCATTGATATGTCATGTTGTTGTGGAAGATTTGAGCTTCAAAGTTGCACAAGTTTACCGAGTTTACTATGTTTAGCCCTGAAATTGAAACAAAATAAAAAGTTTTCCAGATGGAAAAAAATACAACAGCTAAATTCATTTATTTCAAATTTAATAAATAGGCTATTGCGTTGATCAAAGAAATGTGCAAAACATATACTTGCTATCTCCCAACTAGCATCAAAAATATATTTCATGTCTTTATTTTAACTAGTAATGAATGGTATACAGTCAGACCTCCATAAATCCACACCCTCCACAAATGCACGCTATGTCTTGTAGAGTTGCCTTTCTAAACTTTAAACTCTTTTCTAAACTAGTTTAGAAACCCTAAGCTACTTTCGAAACTAACCCGAAACTCCTAAACTATTTTCGAGACTCCAGATATTCCAATTTTCTTTTTGTGTAACTTTCCGATTTAATTTTCCGCGATCCATAATAATAAAATTACTACAAAATCATTTTCTCTTCAAGTGACGTTTTTATCAAAAGTTCATTTTATTGTTCTGACAATTAATTAATTAATTAATTAAACAAAAATATAATAATTTTTTTATTGTTCTAATTATAATATAATTTTTCTCTTAAAAATATATATATAAATTTTTTTTAATCACAATATCGGTGTAGATATATACAGTTATAGTGAACCTATTATATAGTGAATCGTACTATATAATGAAGTTAGAAAAATTCCAATTTCATTATATACAAATTGCTCTTGGTATAATGAATTTTAATATAAACTCTCTATATAAGCATATAATGAAGTTTGTCTTGATCCATCAATAGTAAAATAGATCTCCATATAATGAAGAAATTATTAAACCATATCGATCATTCCTTTTAAAGGAAATAGTATTACTAGTAATAGTAATGAAATTTCGCACAATATTTATGATTCAAAAAATCATCATGTAAAAAATCAACTAAGTAAAAACTATTCATACAATACTTACAGTCTAAAATTACCATCGTGTAACATAAATAATTACTAATAAAAAAGATCAATGATCGATTTTGTCACATGTGATAAAACAAATGTCCACTATGCTACTAGAAAGATGGTTCACATAATTTATTTCCATTAATGTATTTTTTTTATTCGAATAATAAACATTAATATACTTTAACTAATGAAAATTTCACATGACATTTGGCGATCTTTTTATATAATGAATCGTACTATATAATGAAGTTTTTCCAAAAACAAAAGCTTCACTATATCCAGGGCCAACTGTAAATAGTTCAAAAATCATGGTGGGCAACCAAAAAATGCAGTTTGGCAACATTTTGAATGTTATCCTTCAAAACATCCAGGATATTTTGGAGCCAAATGCAAAACATGTAATTAATTGTAAATGGAGTAATGGAGTTGTTAATAAACTGCAAGTCCATTCAGCACATGAATGTGAATATATCAAAAAAAAAGATATATGTATATTGTTGCAGAAAGAAATGGTGTAAGTGAATCTTTGGAAAATGAGCATATAAAGCAAATACACAATCACTTGCTAATTTTTGGGATAAAGATGAGATATTATTAAAAAATGTGCAGCAGGAATTATTGATCATTCAATTTTAAAGACTTTTGTGGTATCCAGAAGTATTTGATTTTGATGCAATTCCTGAAATTTCACCTCCACCAAATTATGTAAAAAATTATTATTTTTTAAAACCTTTATTAATATTGAGTGATAATAATAATAAACAAAAATAAAAAATAAAGATTAAGAATATTTGTTTGGTTTGGGATTTTTAGGAGTTTCAAAACAGTTTAGGAGTTTCTAACAGTTTAGTAATTCACGCTCATTTTCTAAACCAGTTTAGAACGGTTTTAATTTCGAATAATTCTAAACTCATGAGTTTCGGAAGGCAACTCTAATAATCAATTAACTTGTTTTACGAATTTGCTGCCTCTTACTTGTATCTAGAAAGCTTCAGCAAATCTGTAAGCATGTTAAAGCATGTATCGATGCAGAAGGATACCACATAGAATATTAATTTAATAAGAAAAAATGTGACTTTAGTGTTTGTCCTTTGTATATACAAAAAAAAATTTTTTTTGGTTAATAATAAATTATATGCGTAATCTTAAAAAAATCTGTCCGCCATTCTTTTCGCCGGGGACTGTAAAGTTTCTATTCGAATTATTTGTTTTATTCGTTATGAGTGTTCAAATTACATTGAAAGTTTATTCGAATAATTCAAATAAGAATCTCTATTACAAATAGAAACTCTGGTTATGTATCACTCTGATAACCAAATAAGCAATTAAACCCTACCGACTAAAAAGTGTTTTTATTAAACAAAAGAATCAATTTTATTATTTAATTTGTAAAATGTTTGTTACAGAAATGAATTAATTAACAATTTTCTGCCTCTATTCTTATGAGCAAGACACTGAAATGTTAGGTAGCTAATTAGTTAGTTAAGTAATTACTAACTAATAGTAGATAATAGTCATTAGTAATTTTCCGCTTGGTCAGAAGCCATAATGATTTTTGTTAATCTTTAAAAAATCAATTTCTTCCACTAATTTAAAAAAAATTTTTTTTTAACAACTTTATCGAAGTGCCGGCCAACCATATTGCGAACATGTGGCCCAATATCTTCAGTCACAACCTAATTATGGCATTATGACATTACGACCTGATTATGACAATTTGAAAATGGATGTCTAAAATATATTATGGCATTACGATATTACGGCATGTCAAATGTCATGATAGTTTGGCTGCAAAGGTATTGTGGGTGTGATGTAGAGAGTTTATCAATGATCTTGAAGGAAGGGAAGAGGAATCTTGAATTTTCAAGTTGGTAATGGAATGGTTTATGATGAAGTCGATTGTTTTTGAGTAAAGGAAACTGATGAATCTTAAATAATTTATATTTTATCCATCTTTTAAGTCGGTTATTGTTATGTGATTCTGACAATTTGTAACGTATTACCGTGCAGCAGAGGAGAGAAGTTGTCCTAATGACTTTTTATTTGTTCGATTCATTCCTCGAGGTCAAATACTATTTATGATGGGTATCAGGGGTATTTCCGTATGTAGTTACAGCTTGGAAGCATTGCCTCATATACTTGAAACACTTTCACTTGTGTTAAAAGGAAATTGATCATCAAGAGCCACGTGATAAAGTGCTGTTTGGTTAGCCAACTGAGAGCCTTCAAAAACAATTCGAAGATCTTTATCTTCAAGGAATCTTTCCAGTCCAGTTTTTATTGTGCATTGTTTGTATTTTGTGCCTTTTTCCTGAACGGATTTGATGCAGAATGATTTTGAAATTCACAATGGTTGCTTGAAGAACGCGAATGATTCAGTCCTTTACAAGTTGGACAATGTTCTAGATATTTAAAAAAAATATATTTAAGTGTTATTCCTAAAAAATAGAGGCAGATAAATGGTAAATATTTACTTGGTTTGATTTTTTTGTTCTTTTTTTATGTCCTCGCTTGCCTTTCTTTTAGTTGCATTTTTAGAAGATTCCGCATTTGGTATATTAATATTTTTGTGTTTTTTTGTGGGAATCTCTACTTTGTCACTTTTCGTTTACTTGATTACTGATTCCCTGCCATTTGTATGTACTAACGTTGAAATGATGATGGTGTTTGAATTAAAACAGAATTGACAAAGTTCTTTAAATAAGAAATGTTTCTTTTATTTTATTTTATTTTTTGATTTCCTATAATGTATGATGACATTATTATTATTATTATTTGTCAAAGGATTTTATTTTTAATTGCTTGGTATTTGAGCCTTAACCTTTCTTGTTCTTGGTTCATACTCACTCAGGATTGGGGATAATCTTGCCGGCTACTACCATTTTATTGACAAATATAGGAAAAACGTAAATCATTCTTCCAAAATTATACTAACGAAACAAAAATTTCAAGGGAAAAAGGCAGTGTTACGAGTTTTGTATTGCGTTGAAAGAATAGAGATACTAACTCCGAGTTAAGTTTAGAGAAATAGGACAATAAAGTAATAGAGACTTTTTTTTATTTTAAGCTAGAAAATAAAAGTAAAAGTTGTGAATATATATCCTCCCTCTTTCTTATAGATATCTTCATGGTGGTGTATTAATATTAGCCGAAAGAAAGTGGATTCGAAAATTTTCTGCTAAAGTTGAAATACCCTTCATGGTTATGGACTGCCATGTAACATTCACAAAACATCTAACATTAGAGCAACCAGAGCAAAAACAATCCAAAAAAAAAAAATGGTGTTTGATAATAAAAATAATTTTTGAAAAAGAGGTAATGGCAACAATTTTACCCCTATTTTATATCTAAATAATTTATTAATTGGTTTTTTTTTTTACAAATTAAGATGGATAGCTTTGGAGGGTCTAAACATTAAGGTGATGTGTGTGTGTTTATTATGTATAAATAAATGATTTTTTAATCTAAAAAAAATTGTTTATTTTTGTTTTCCTGAATATAGAGGTGAATCTTCAGCAATTGTATACTCCTTTCCACCAACTGTTGCATTACCACCTTGAACTCCGAATGTTGTTACAGCTCCACAACTATTCTCATCAGATCTTAATGTTTGCCAAGAAATTCCATTTGCTATTTTATATATTAAAAAGATTTAAATTTAAATTTTTCAAAATAACTTATTTATCATCAAATAATTTACCTTTCTTTAATTTAATTTCAACCTTGGTAGATAAATATTCAAATTTGGATTTTTCAGGATCTATTTTTTCATATAATGGATAAATTTCCTTGAATATTTTACTATCAGAGAATCTCAAGTCAACAATTAACTATAAATTTTTTAAAATTATTTCAGAATCACAATAATAATAATAATAATAATAATAATCACAGTAGTAATAATAATAATAATAATAATAATAATAATAATAATAAACAATTATCTACCTCTTGTGATTGGAAATTTATAGTAGATTTTTGTTTATCAATCTTTTTTGCAAATATAGACATTATCACATTTGTTGGTGTTTGATACCTATAATAATATATTATTATTGTTATTACTTTCAATTTTAATATATACATATTTTCTGAATATTAATCATACCAATCATTTCGACAATTAACACGTTCTTCTATGTTGGTCTAAATTAATCAAATAAAAAAATACAAGATGTAAATATTTTACTTTACTTTTTTAAAAAAATTCTAATGATTGAAAAAGACATACATTTCCAACAAACAAATGTTTTCCTTTTTTACATCCTTTTATTTTCAAAAATTCTTCAAATTCTAAAACTTTACGAGTGCAACAACTCCAACCTAACAACAATGACATGTATAATTATCTCAAAAAGAAAAAAAATCAATTAATAATCTATATAGTGAGTGAATTTTTATTACCTTTACTTCCTTCATGAAAAGTTGCTGTACCAGGATGATAGATACATTCTGCTTCTGGACCTTCTCCACGGCTTGTTTTTTCATCAATGTATTTTTTACCACAACCTGATCTTTTACAAACAGTACCAACAGTAACAGGAATATTTGGATCATCATCTTCTGGTTCTTGGACTATCATTTGTTGTGGCTTGGTTTTTTCACTACTTGGTATTGTTGTGTTTGTAATTTTGGCCTCTACCTCTTTTGATTGAACAAAAGGAATTTTTGGTCCAGAATATACTTCAACTCCCTCTCCTTCTCCTTCAGCTCTCATTGGTTCCTTATTATTGTTATCAATTAAATCATTTTTTGACAAGTCTGTGCTTGAAGGTGAAGGTTGTTGAATTTGATCAGTGTGTTGGCTAATAAAATAATTTGAATAAATAAAATAAATATTCAAGAAAAAAACAAGGTTCAAATCAACAAAAAAATTTTTTTAGAAACATTATTTAAATACCCTTTGGTGCATCCTGGAATAATAAGAAATTCATCAAATGATGTTACCCTTCGGTCACAACATTGCCATCCTTTTAAACCTTTGTTTTATTGTTTTTTTTTAATAATGATTTATGAAAATGTTGAAAAAATTTACAATCATCAGTTTTTACCTTCGTGAAATATTGGAGGTTTAGGATGGTAAAGGCATGCATTATCATTATTTTCTTCTTCAGTATAAGTTTTTTTACAACCTTCATGAACACACACTGGCATTTTTAACTTATTTTAAATTACAAAGTAGAAAAAAAATTTTATATATAAGAGGGAAGTTAATTGTCGAGAAAATACTAGAACAATCTCTTCGACAAAAACCTGTATAATTGACAAACATTACACTGCATTAAAGTTGCAATTATGGTCACGGGGAAATCAATAAAACACAGAAATATTGATCAAGAGTCCAATTCGATAAAGTGTTACTCAATCAATGTAATAAACCAATAAAATAATTAACTCACTGAAATTATCAAGAAAGATTATTCTAAAAATAACTTGAAAAATATGTGGAAGGTTCAAATTATGTTCAAGGAATACATTTAACAAACCAAGAGTTCTTGGAAATCAGATAACTAGATGGTTGAACCTTTAACATGTATAAATAATGTTAATTTCATGTATCATTGTTATCATCATAAAAAATCTTTAACAATAATCATTTAATAAATAACAAACTGTTGAACTTGTCCTTATCCTTGTTGTTGCCTTTGTTGTCTTCAAATTTTTTATTTTTTCCCCAATTACTATCTTACCAGGGGGACAGACTCCTATACTAAGTGTAGTTGTATATATTTATTTCTTTTATTTTATTCTAGAAATAGGCCTTAGGAAGGTAACTGGAATCAGAAGGAACCTAGGTAAGGCCAGAAGATACTAGGCCAGTAATATTAAGAAAAGCCCAAAGGTACAAGGCTAAATGTATCAAGAATTTGGATGTTCCTGGCAAGAGTTTCTGCTGGAAAATTGTGATTAGTTGGAATAATGAAATCTCGTCGTGTAACAATCCATACAAATTTGGATGCGCACCTTTGTTGATCTATTCCAAAAATATTTCCAGGTCAGTGTTCGAAATTCGACTGTGCCTCAACACAGAGCTAGTCTAAATTTGGAAAATATCTGCATCAAATTTCCATATTTGGTTAGTGTGAGCCGATTCCGCCGATTGAATTTCGAACACTGCACCGGGTAATTATAAGTGAACTATCATCCTGGTCAATTAGTAAATTTACCCTATTTCAAAATTTACACCGTTTTGGATCACACAGTACATACAAAATTTATTAAGTTACCTTCTTTAAACATACCAGTTATACAATTTTTTTTTTCTATAGTATATTTATTATTAAAAATTTAAATTTTTTATTCACATCATCAATTGATAGATTGAATTAAAAGTTTGATTGAGCTTTCATTATTTAAAAACCTATACCAAATTCCAAATTTCTGTATGGAATGTAAATAATTGAGTATTTAATTGATAATTAATATCTGTTTATCCATAACCAACATAGTAAATAATCTGAACACTCTTATAATTTCTTGAGCTTCAATATGAAAATCATCCCAATGGAAGCTATCACTATTATTTTCAAAGCTTTCTGAAAATATTTCTTTTGCAATCTCTTTTATAAGATGTGAACCACCAAATTCCAACATGTTCTAAATAATTAGTAATTTTATCATTTTTTAAACCTTGACAAGGTTTTTTTTTTGTGTGTTATTTGTATTATTTAGTGGAAAAATTTTTAGTAATAGTCTGTCTTCCTTTCCTTGCTTCTTGACATCTATTATTTTTTGCATGACATATTAACAAATCAGGATACCACTCTTTATCTAATCTAATCCTATCACCACAGACACAATACACAGTTTTACTGTCTATTATATGACCAACTAGATTGTGTTCTCCAAGAAGTTTTCTTGTGAGTTTTTTTTACAATTATGTGTCTTTACTATTTTACTAAAGTTTTTTTTTTGTTGAAAATTATCTAACTAAATACATATGTAAGATGATCTTAAAAATATATATGTATTTCTATTACTATTTATCAATCAAAAATATTATTATTAATAAATGTGTATTTTGTTTCCATCAATCACCAATACAAGTCTATATAGTATTTATTAATAAATGTTATTGTTTAATAAAAATTATACCACTACCACTTCTGTATGTTTCTATCAATCACTAAAATATAAAAATATATATAAATTATATACTACTTTTTTTTTTAAGGTTATTTATTATCATTGTGTCACAAATAGTTCTGGCCACATAGAACTACTCCATCCCTAAATCTACTACTACCTTTTATATGGATCGGGACATATTTCAATGTTTCAAATTTACCCTTTTTTTGAGAAAAAATCAAAAAAAATTTTTACCTTTTTTTTGGATACCAGTTCTGATCCCATTTACAATAGTTCGTCAAAAAAAAATTACTGTTTTTACCCCATTAAAGCCATGGGTTATCATAGAATTACCTGGTGACCTCGTGAAGCAAGAATTCATCGGCTAAATTTTGTGACGATCTCCCTTCCAGATATCACGCAAAAGTTAAATTTTATTGGCTTGAAGTTCGTTACACAAATTTGACAAACAAAAATAAATTTATATTATCAGAGGAAGGAAATTTGTTTTTTAGATTGATGTTTATAACATTTTTATACATACAAAATATAATAAAAATAAATGCGTTGCTCACAATACAAAGGAAATGATTTTTCTTCTTTTCTAAATTATCAAATGAGATAATAAATGATGCAATTAATTGATACAGAAAGAAACATTTTTTCTAAGATAATCAATAAATGTAACCAACAAGATATAACTGACCAGATAAAAGGCATAATGTGCCAATTTATTCGGTTACATTTAATGCTGATCATTTATGCATATAAATTCAATATAGTTTATAAAAAAATACTAATAATATTAAAACGCACATAATAACCATTTTTGTACTTCTAAATAAATATATTCTTTTGCAATTAAATATAATAAAAATAGGAATCCATTGAATCCCTTTACAAAACACATTTGTTGAAAAATGTAAAAATATATCCATTCATTCAAGTAATAAATGATCGTCAACTTTGTGTGATGCTTTCCTTGTGACCGAATAAAATGGCCCCAAAATAATATTACACATTACTAGAAATAGTAATGATGACCTTCAATCCAAATATCACGTGTGACCGACTTATCGAGAGTAATTTACTATTACACATACTCTAAAAGAAGGGTTGGCTGACTTGCAGCTTATCGCGATTTTATATATATTGGCCGAATTATCAAGAGATTTTAAATATTGAAAAAAAGGGCTGAAAATTTTTGGCCAAGTCAGGCCAAATACGACTTATCAAGAGACCGACTTATAGAATTTACCTATGTATGAGGGAATTCATCTAACGGGTATAATCCAATACATTTCTGGCCTCTCTCCTAACTTCTGCACCTTTTAAATTATTATTATATAGAAAAAGAATTTATTGTTTCTTGTAAAAAACAAATTAAAACATCTTAAAACCATAATACAAATAAAACTTAAATCTAATTTATTATTGTAATTGTTTATTATTAAAAAAAATAAAAAAAAGCATAATAAATAATAAATAATAAGAAACAGAATAAAATTAGATTAAAAAATAAATTGAAAATTTTGCGATCAACGCTATTAAATAATAATGATTAATTATATAATGAAATAAATAATAACAATAATAACAACAACAATAATAATAATAGTAATAATAATAATAAGGGTATAAACGGATATATATCGGTTCTTATCTAGTCTACCGCCGCCCACAAAATAATCCCACGCTCAATTAACTGTCTATAGAAGATTATTAGATTGCGGGATAGAAAAATTCATTAATGTCTAGTGATCTATCTTTGATATAATCATTTAAAACGTCATTATATGGTGACCATAAGTAATCTTCGTTCCACGAATCAATATACAACGTATCTAATTTTGCCTTTGTATTAAATAAAAAATCCTTCATCGGCTTTGCTCCAATGAAAATCCAGATATTTAAATGTTTCAATGTGACTGGTAAATATTTGCCTAATTCTGGCCAAATATCTTCAATGTATTTATTATCATTATCGTTATTATCATAATCATTATTTGACTTTAATTTGGATGACGATGATGACGATGAAAATAAACTAAGATTTTTCATTAAATATTTTGATGTTTCAAATATATCAATCAAATAAGCAATATTTTTCTCTTCTTCCTCTCTTTCTTTTTCATTTTCATCGTTGTCATAATCATCATGATGATTCTCTGCACCTTCGATAATTGAAATTCCAAAAGTTTCTAATTTGATTTTATAACTTGACAAATATTTAATTATCGTTTTGGTTAAATTATTGTTTGATTCTTCCAATAATTCCCATGGTTGATAAATGAATTCCTTCAAATATTTTGGATTGTTTTTAACGATTATCTGAATTAATTTTGTCCATTGTATTGAAGATTCGATCAAATTTATTTTGGTTAATTCAGGAAATTCCAAATCATTTAAATCGTTGATCTCTTCTAAACAATTTGTGCATCTGCGTATTTCCAATTCCTGTAAATTTTTACAGACTTTTAACGATTTGATAGATTTGTTGTTTGGAAATGGTATTCCATAAAAGCTCAAAGAAGTCAACGTGTCAGATTGACTTGCTAATGGTATAAAAATATTTGAATTAAATCCTACTTTAATTGTATCGTAACATTTTAATGAAAATTTATTTAAATTGTATTGAGAGAATATCAAAGAGCTCAAGAAATTCTGATCTTTAAAATTACTCAATTCTTCATCTGATGATTTGATAATGTTTAATACCTTCAAGTTTTTGATTTGTTTCTCTATAGCTTCAAAAAAAAATTTGTCTGTAGTATAATTAATAGTCAATTCTCTAATATTTGAAAGATCTAACTCAACTCCCAAATTGTCTTTAATCTTCATCCATGTCAATTTACTTGATCTATCCAAACTTAATGAACTGATTTTTGCTTTATGGTAAAAAAATAGTTTGCAGATGGTATAATAAATTCTTAATGTTAAATCATTTATTTCTGAATTTCTATTAATTATTTTAAAAGTAATAAACGTAAAGTTATAAGATTAAATAACATTCAAATATATTAAATACATTCAAATAATATATCACTTACCTGACAATGACATTATTGTTATTATTATTATAATAA